AAAAAAAAAAACTTACATTACAAATATTGGGACGTTCTCCGGTATGCCGCCTGACGTGAAGCGACAAATCATGCTTTGAAAGAAATGGCTCTTGTCTGCTACACTTTTTCCACTCACAGCAATACACTCTTGATGTCTAAAACGGTAAGATTTCAGATAATGAACAAACACATGAAAGTGTATTGAAACCGGTAACTTGGAAAGAACTTTTGAAAACTTACTAACCTTTACGTGAGCTTCAGCAACGTGCTTCACAAAGAAGGCTTTATTTGCAAAAACAAATCCACAGTTACCCCATTCACAATCGAAAATGCCTACTTCGTCATTCGCAGATGAGCCTAACGAAGCTTGGTTGAGCGTTCCAGAAACTTCCACTTGTTGCAACGGCAGACGTGCCTCTGGTTGCTCAACTTTCTGCGGTACCGCTTGTGGACGAGGGCATTGTGGCTCTGATGAAGTAGCCGGTACCTTCCCAGTACGAGAAAGCTGGAATTTTGATTGAAAAAAATTTAATAACTTGCAAATGTGATTAGAAAACAACAAGAGGAACTACAAGGATTTTGTTAAAAACTTCTTATAGAGGGTTGAAAATCTGTATTTAATATGTCGATGATTATAATTAAGTGTACATTTGCAGGTATACTTAACCGTTTTCACTGTTTCAACTATGGAAGATGTAACTGACTGGAGGGAGCACTGTACTCAGTGTAGCTTTGAAGGGAAATGTAACTTAGTAAACTGGACCCAAGCAATAACTTCTTGTTCTTCAGTTCGTGTAGCTTTTTACCCTGATTGTCCCTATGTGTGTTCCGTGTTTTTATCAAAGCGCTCAACAAACTTTGGTGGTATCCACTCAGAAATATTACAAAAAAGAAAAACACTGGTTAAAACCGTTTGTGTGATCGGAATACGTTCCATATTCCCCATTTCAATGTTAGACCACACCTTGACGCCATGAAAACCAAACAGTTTTTCTCTATTGCGCAGTGGACGCCAGACGGTTCCCGATTTAAGCAACAGAGCCCCTGTCAAATAACCCAGTTCACTTGACTTTCTTTGCCCCGTAGAATTTTGTATCCCCGCCTGAATCGACGTTTTGCTGCTCACAGTAACTGTAAGATTACACCATCCTCCCAGTTAAGGCGATCCTATTACGCGTCACCGCGTTAGAGACGTAGAAATGCA